GCGGGGTGGTTCCAGAAAAGGGGAATGTTAGTATTGCAAAGGGATAAAGTTTATCGAGGGGGTGGAATAATATATAGGATTTCTCTCTTCGTTGATCGAATACCACCATCACCACCATCATCTCTCGTAACAACTTTTTCTTCGAACATTTGGAAATTCCTTTTACGGTTTCTTTTTTTATTCTTTTTTACGGTTTTATATCGAAACATTCTAACGGATTATTAGGGGTATACCGACACACGAGGAGAGAGAGCAGGGGGAAGAGATATAAAATGTGGATAGAAGAACTTTTCCTTTTTTTTTTATTTTTCTAATAGAATTTCATCGATTTATACGAAGCTTTTTTTCAATAGAAAATCGAGAGAGAGAGAAAGATTCTTCTTCTTCTTCTTCTTTGGTCGTCATTCGGAGCACCGTTAAATGTAATTTTTTTAAATCCATTTTTTATGATACCATAATTCCAGAAATTTTTCCTGTCCACAATATCCAATCGTATCAAAGTAATAATACTAATTATAATTTTATTCTTTTTTTCAATGTTTAAAAAGAAAGATTCTCAAAACAGCGTATTCGGTGCACCGTAAGATAGAAAGAAAGAAAGAAAGAGAGAGAGAGAGAGAGAGTATTTGAATAAAAAGCGAGGGAAAAAAAGATGGCTGCTTTTCGTATGCGTCAAAGGAAGGAACGAGCGGAACGGACGGAACGGAACGAACGAACCACCGAGTTGTATATGCATATGTGTTATTTTATTTCTTTTTTTTTTTTCTTTTTTTTTGCATACTGTTTGAGTTACCGAGAGGAAAAAGAATATATGAAAAAGAAGAAGAAGAGAATACGACTAAGTCGATACGTTGAAAAGGGATAGAAGATAATACGATGCAGCATATATAAATATGTGTGCGTGTGTGTGAATGAATGTATGTGAACAAGGACGAAGAGGTCACAGAGTAAGAAGAAGAAGAAGAAAGAGGATCGTTTGTAATAATAGTTAGTAGTGGTGTTGAATGGACAAGTCCATGTTCCCCATAGTGAGAGGATTGGAGGGGGTGTCACAGAGTAGAAACGAAGGGAAAAGTTTGATAGTATTGGTGACCATGCGTGTTGGTGGTGGTGGTGGTGTGGTGTAGTTCAAAACGTAAGGACTGCGTCGTCTCGACAAACTCTAGGCAAAGCTTCTGAGAAGGGCGAGAAGGAGGGTGGCAGGGGGGAAGGGTAGGGAGGGGAGGGCAGTGTGCTTGCACCACGCTTGTTTACTTTAAGCCAACCAATGGAGGAGGACTAGGGGAATATCTTTCTTGGCTCGTTGTATCTTCTGTTGTACTCTCTTCCCTTCCCTCCCCCCTGTCTTCCTTCTTCTTTCTTTTTTTTTTTTTTTTCGAAGACGACTCCACCGAGTATATGTGTAGTTGTTTTATTTTATATTTTTTTTAACCACAGTACATCTCTGTATTTTCTCTTCTTCTTTTTTTAAATTTTGTGCAAATAAATTTTGTGGAAAATCGTTACCAATAATTGCGAAAGGATTCACTTTCCTATTCGATTCGTAATACATTTTTAAAACACACCCCATATATATACTTAAATAAAATATTTTATTTCTTATAATATATAGTTCACACGATTCTTTCTATTTCCTTTTAATATTCATTCTCGTAGCGCATGTAGGATTGTTGTAAGGTGACAATCTCGATTGATTCGTTGAAAAATAAATGAGAAATCTAGTCTTTTTTTTTTTTTTTTTTTTTTAATTTTATCTTTCGCAAACTTGGAAATAAACAGATCAATTTTGATTGGCCGAATTTCCCGCCATTTTTTCTCTTTTTCTTGTGCTACTTAACCTCTTATGTTAGGGATAAGAAACTTACATTAGTAATGTTACACTGCTGTTACTACTAGCTCTACACATTTAGATGTTCGTCGTCATCGTGTCGGCAGATGCTTCCTCGTACCATCGTTCCCACTGTTCAACAGATCGATCGACCTCTTTACTTCTCTGTATATTTCAATGTATGTATGTGTGTGTTTCTCTCTGTGTGTGGTGGAACTGTGTTCATACACGAGCAGCAAGAATAAAACGTGTTTCTCTAATGAAATATTTTATGTTTACAATTAATGCACTTTTTTTTTCTCTCGACAATAATTTATATGTGTGTGTGTGTGTGTTATTTTTGTCTGTTTTTTTTTGGAAACACCAAAGTGAAAAAAGTGTGTCTTCGGATTCCAAATACGTTGTTCTCACGTTCCCTTTATCTTTTTTTTATATTTTGTTTTTGGTTCAGCTGTTTCTCTCTCTTTTTTTTTTTTTTCGAAATAAAGTCGTTTCCATTAGAATCGCTTAGTTTTTAAGAGGTTAGAGCATAAAAAAAAAGAAAAGGAAAGAAGAGAAAGAGAGAGAGAAAGACTTTTAAACTTGTCGACTTCCTAGCCGAGTTTTATCGAGGTTGAGTTGACATTCTTTTGAGTGTAATTATTTACTCTCTCTCTCTCTCTCCTTTTCCGTCTTTCTTTCTTTTTTCTTGTTATTTAAATTATTTACACACACACACACACAAAATGTAATCGGCGTAATAATTTTATTAATACATACATATCTTTCTCGAAATATAACCCAATCTTGAATTGTACGCGGGAGCGCGGCGGCCATATTGGAATATTTAAAAAATTCATTCCCCAAAAACATAACCTAAATATTGAATTTTCTTTATTTCTTTCGACGATATTGTTATATAATAATTAATGATAGTAATTGATTTTAATAATTAACAATCCTTTTAATCAGAGATTAAATTCATCCATTCGCGAATAATAATTAATATCAATAATATAATATATATGTATATATTGAAATGAAAATATATATATTTTCCGATAAAACCATTTTGTTTAATCGTTGTTGCTAACTAATTTATCTTAAGAGTAAAAGCGAGAAAGAAAGAGGGTACAGGATGAACATTATATAAAGAGAAAAGTGTACTCTCAGGACTCTGTGCACTGTCTGGGTATTAATTAGCAAGTACCGAAGCTCAGTTCACTGTACCGAGTGACCTTGCGTTTAGCGCGCTTGCGTGTGAAATATATAAACGATGCGATTAGACGATGAACGCGTTCGTAATTAGACTGATTAGACGTTCATTTTCATTTTTTTTTCTTTCTTTCTCTTTCTCTCTCTCTCTCATATTCTCTCTTACGTTGTATAGTCATCATTTACATACATATCATAGGTTAACCTATTTAACATACACCGACTTACATCAGCAGCACGTATCTTGTCGTACACATTTTATTTTTCAATATAAATATTATTGCAATTGATGAAATATTATACTGATTTTGTTTATTTTTTTCTCTTTTGGTTTGTTACAGGAATGGGAATAAAATCGAAGGACGGGAGAATAATTACTGGCAGAAGGATTATTTCGAAGATGAAAATATGACGTCATTACTTCTCTCTTTCTATCACTCCTTACGAAGATTAGAAGAAATTCAAGATGGCCGACGAGTGGATTGTTCGGAAAACAAATAAAAAAAAAACGATGATATATATTTTTTTTTGAATTAAATATAATAATTATATTATACCGATCTCTCTCGAGTAATCGGAATAAAAGGAAAGAGAATTAGTAACGGAAAAGTACAAATGTTAGAGATCACGGTTGTTTTTGTTGGTTACGCCAATGCGCGTATAAATATTGTTGGAATTATATGCCCCAGATGACATTTTCAACAGGGGAAGATTTTTTTTTGTGTTTAAAGGGTTGTCGTAGAAAAGAAAGTGAAATTATCGGGAAATAATAAAAGAAGGAACGAACAAAAGGAACAGAGAGAGAGTCCTGCCGAAATGTGACGCCACGTTTGATCCATCCCTTCATTTCCCTCCCCCCTCTCACACCCTCCTATTCGTATATATATATATAAAGGGTAGTCCAAAAGTTCTGAAGTATTTTTATCAATCAATGAAGTATCATTTCAATTGTAAATCATGTAGAAACTTTTTGGGCTCACCCTGTATAGAGAAGAAGAAGATTAAATTACAAAAAGGTCAAAGAATCCTGAAGGCTGCTGCATCTTCCTTTCCTTTTCTTTCCTTTTCTTTCCTTTCCTCTCTCTCTATATACAGGGTGGGACATTGAAAAAGGAACATCCTAGATTATTTTTTCTTTTATTCGTGAATAAAAAAATGTTAGAGGAAGAAAGTAAAAATATTTTAAAGGATCCAACTAGTAGTAGTAGTAGTAGTAATAAGATAAATTTCTTTTCATTGTTAATATTTATATTTTCTTTCTAAAAATAAAAAAAATTTGTAATATAAATTTCATTTATAAGATGAGAATTTTTCCCCTAACGCAGCATGCTGCGTGTGCCTGCCATCGTTCGTCTAGGAAAACTATGAACGGTTCAGGAATTATACTATTTAGGTTAGAATCTTGAAAAGAATATTTTTCTTCGAAGATCCCGAACAGATTGTCGAATGATGGTGACGGTCAGTTGGGTCTTGTTGAGTCCCAAAAAGATCAAAATAAATTATTATAGTGGACTCTAAGAGTGGTGGGTTGAAAAGTTTGGAAAGTGTGTGTTGGTGGTGGGGGGGTTTCAGCTGGGTTCGAAACGTGTTTTTCTCATAGATGATGGTTTTAGAAAGAAAGGAAAAGTTGAAAGATGTCGTTGGGACTTAGTGGAAGAAGACCTTGGTTGAAGAAGGGTGGGTGGTAGTGGTGGTGGTGGTGGTGGTGGTGAGAGTAGAAAATTGTTGTTCAGGAATTAAGATTGAATCTTTGTAGGAAATCATTGTAAATTTGTTTAGGGAATTTAAATAGGGTATAGAAAATATTTTTGAGGTTATATTAATAATTTGTATGGTGTTGTATCTCAATCATATAAAGGTGTTGTTCCAATTGAAATATCTCATCCTGTATATATAAACTTAATTCTAATTACAGTAAAGTAAGAAAAATGAAATGAGAGATTGATTTTTTTTTACATTTTTGTTTATTTTTCTTTAGAAATCATTGGCGGAGGTGGTGGCGGCGGATGCTGTGGAAAAAGAAGAAGGAAAGCTAAAATACGGGAATAAAGGAATAAAACAAGTGGAAAATAAAACGATGCTAGGTGCGGTAGTAATAGTAGTAGTATTAGTGTCGACGATGATGACGATGACAATGGTTATTAATACGTGACACACAGTGCAGGGTCTCGCGTGTTGGTGTGCCCGCGGGTTTCAAGTGTGCACGAGTGTGTAAAAGTGAAGAAGAAAATATCACATATATATGCACACACATCCATTATATATATATATATATATATATATATAAGAAAAGGGGTGAACGTACAGTGAGTGTTGTAATTGAAGTAGTGACAAACAAAAAAAAAAAAGAAAAGGAAAAGGAAAGTAGAATATTAAAATAATAACTAATATTAATAGTAATAATAATATCTATAATAATAATAATAATAATAATAATAATAATAATAATATACAAATTAATTATAAAAAGAGGGGTGTCGTTCGATGTGGAAAAAATAAAATAAATAAATTAATTTGATTAAATACAAACAAATAAAAAACGGGGGTGTAGGGTAAATGCAATGGAGTAGCGCTTGTGGTGCGGGTTTTCTTTTTTTTTTTTTTTTTGAAAAAAGTGAAGAAGATTGTAAAAAAGGAAGGAAAGAATAAGAAATATAATTAAAGAAATTCTTCATCTCTCGTCGTGCAGCAAGCAGTAGAAGCAGCAAAAGAAGCAGCAGCAACAGCAACAGGATTGGTGGAAATAAGAAGAAAGGGGTTGAGGAGGAGGAGGGGGTGGTGTGTATAAGCGCGTACACATATGTATAATACGTGCGCGTATGAGTGCGTGATCGCGCGCGTACACGTACATAATTTTCATTCGAGACTCAAACGGTGAATTAAATATTACCGACTACGCGGATTTTTCGTTTGTTTGTTCGTCGTTGTTGTTGTTGTTGTTGTTATTATTGTTGTTAATAATTTCGGCGGAAAGAAGATTAAAGCTGCCGGCTAAATTTGCGGGAAGAAATTCGAAGGAGATCCGCCGGACTGCCTTCCACAGCTGACGTCATTACCGGTGAGTAATCAAACTAACCTCAATTTTTTATTTTAAAGGTTTTTTTCTCCCTCCATATGTGTGTAATATCCGCCATCTTGAATTTAATCGAATTCAAATGATATATATATATATATTTGTGTTTTGTTTTGTTTTTGAATTCGATTTAATGAAAATATTATCGAATTAAAAGTATATATTTAAATAATATATAATTGTTTTTGTTATATTAATATTATTATTATTATTATTATATAATTTATTTATTTATTTATTTATTGAGATACATAACGATATCATAAAAATATTATCGATTATTATATATGTGTTTCTCTCTTGTTAACAATTAGAATCAATAGGTTCTCCGATAATGGTGGATAAAAAAAAAATCTGGATGAAACGTAATCTCATTGTGTACTACGCTTGACGAATGTGTGTGTTAGTTGTTATAACGCGTGCGCGCTCGTGTACGTACGTGTGCTCAATGTGTTTGTTACAACACTTGTTGCATAAACATGGGGATAGATATCACGCCTCGAGGATAGATAATTATTATCTGTAAATGTATAAAAGGACGAGAGAAAATATAAACAGCTGTTTCAGGTTGCAACTCTCCCTCTCTCTCTCTCTCTCTCTCTCTTTTTCTTTGTATAAAATTTTCTCGACTTATCGATAATATAAATTGTGTCGTCACCTTATATGTTCTTATACTAATATTACATTCAATAGTTTGATATCGATGATCGATAACTCTTAATGAATAAGATTAGAATATTAAAGGAAAAAAAAGAAGACAAAAAAAAATATATATATAATAAAAAAAAGTAATAAGAACCTATTAACAATAGTTAACCTTCGTCATTAAAATTGAATCATTCGCATTAATTTATTGTATCTTTCTTCTCCTAATCGAGATGATTCACAAGCTGATTTAAAAAAAGAAATAGAAAAAAGTATAACGATTGGTAACTATCATTAAATTAGAAATAAAAAAGAATTGTTGCTTTAATTTATTTCTTTTCCGCGTGATTTGTTTTTATTTTCTTTTGGGGGGCGGAGGGGAGTATTATAATCTATTATTATCAACTTTTGATCATTGTAAAATTTTGTTACCATATATAAAAAATATCTTTCATGCAGGTACATATATATATCTGCAATTGTAAGTGCAACTTGGTTAAACACGTTTGTCGTAGGTGTTTCTGAGTTAAATAGTATGAATCATATATATATATATATAGTTTGTATTCATTGTGATGATGGTGCAGCTCGGTGCAAGTTGGTGCATTCACCTCGGGCTAGTAGTTCTGCTTTAATCCAAGAGCCATACCCTTTTCATATAGATGTAATATTTTTACGTAGGTATATGTGTATGTATATACATGCAATCGTGCATACATATATATCGAATGTACACGTCATATAGAAATCTCAACGAGTACTACACATATTTTTTCTCACATCTACCTTTTTAACCATAATATATTTATCGGTTTTTTTTTTTAACAATATATAATAAAACGAATGATTATTCCAATCACCGCTTATATTTTTGTATAATCTTTTGCGACAACCACAATTCTTGCAAAATATATATATATATATATACAGGGTGTACTAAAAGTATTATTATTATTATTATTTTCTTTTTTTTCCAAACTTATCTTTCCCAAATTATTATTATAATTTTTAAAGATTACATAATAATACCTTTATTGCATTTGACTCATCTTTACATATTTTTTATTATCAAAAAATATTCATTATATCTCTTTAATTATAATTGGTACATATGTTAAGTATTGTTTGTTTTAAAGTAACACTATTACAAAATTTACACAACGATGATTAGTATATTGTACGACTCATGACAAACGTTTATTTCTTTTTTTAAACGATGACTATGAGATGATATATATCTATATATAATATATATATATATATATATATATTTGTGTGTAGCAATGTATGCGTGTGTGCAGGTGCAAGTTTTACCTTTTCAATTATGGATTATATACGTTTTAAATATTTCGATACTTGTTACACGGTTTTTTTTTTGTTTTATCATCATGCTATTTTTATTTGTTTGTTTTTTTTTTTTTTCCTAATCTTACACCCGTTCACCCCACCCACTCCTCCTCCCATCCTCATTGTTTTTATCTTTTTGACTATTTGTTCTATCGTCAGGTCAATTATACCTTATGTCGTCAAACACATTGGAATTTGTTAACTATATAAGATTAGTAGTAGTCCTCACGATGGTTGTTCAATGCTGCAATGCAGCAGTCCTTGCTTGCTGCATTACAACAAGCAAGGCAACTTCTTTGTGAACGTGCACGCATCACACACATCCTTCTATCTCTCTTTTTCTCTCTTTTTAAACTCTTTCCACATTCTCCCTACTCATCGCCATTTTGTAAGTCCGAACCCGCGCAATTCAACTTCCTGGAAAAAAAGAAAAAAAAGAAAACTATTGATGAATGTATATTTTCGTGTGTGTTTGTTTGTATCCATGATCTTTAATAATTTGTTGTAACTTTTTAATTATAATATAATATTTTTAAAAAGATTTATATTGTTTTTTTTTATTATATATATATATATTTTAGTATAGTATAATATAGTAAATTTATTATCGTAGTATACTGTACAGTATTATTGCATTATAGTATATTACTATATATTGCAATTAATATACTATAGTATACTGAATAAGTATACATATATATTTTAGTATAATATAATGTGTGTAATTAATTTATTATCGTAGTATACTGTACAGTATTATTGCATTATAGTATATTACTATATATTGCAATTAATATACTATAGTATACTAAATAAATATACATACATATTTTAATATAATATAATATAATAAATTTATTATCGCAGTATACTGTATTGTATCATTACATATTGCAATTAAATATATTATAGTTATAATGAAAAATGGTAACAATATAAAATATATATTATAGAAAATACACTAGATTATTATAATTAATAAATTTTTCTTGTAATCGGTCTGTTTCAGTACATAATGCGCTAGGGGTGATGGAGACAGTGGGCAAACAGGTCCAGGTAGTGAGTGGACTGGGGGTGGGGGGCCCAGTGGGCCCGGTCGGCCCAGTAGGGGGAGACCTGCACCACCATCACCATCCTCACCCCCATTCGCATCCACCGCACCCGCACTCCCACCCCCACGGTCATCCCCATGGGAGTCACGGGCATTCGCTTGTTGGCGGTACGTCGACCCCTGGTAGGGCTCAGGCTCAACCAGCGGTTTCGCATAACCAGCATTTGCCTCCGAGATCCACCCCCGTACAAATGCACAGGTATGCCAACATGAGATAAATTATTAAACATATATCTACAATTTTTATATTTTTTATTTTTTACAAAACGCTAATCCAAACAATGTTCATTACTTCTTTTGTTATTTTTATCTAATCAATAATTATTATCTTTATTTTTTATCATGAATTATTTATGCGTCGACCAAGTATAAAATTCTAATTAGAGTTTTAACTAAAGTTTTCTTCTTCTTCTTCTTTTTCTTTTCGTTTTACGAAAAGATTCGTTATCTCGTTTATAAACTTAGTTTCTATTTGGAATGTTAAATCTTCTAACTTTGAATATCAAAAGATCACGGTCATGGTCATTACACAGTCACGGTCGTGGCATTAATTAATTGATGAGTATAACTTCTGGATATTAGATTCGTTGAAATTCGAAATGATAATGTTGAATAACACATTGACAAGGTATTAAATTCCTAAAAAGGGTTAATTGTTTTAACTCTCTTTTATCATCACTATCGTTAAATCGAACGAGTAATCTGTACAGACACTACTAGTTTGTTAGTGTGGTAGTCAAATCCGTGCGACCTTGAAACGAAAAAGTTCAAGCGGAGTCTGTGCCGACACACGATGAGAATGAGTTAGTGAGTAACTGTGTGTGTATGTGTGTCTGCTGAGAAAGAGATAGCAGTAGAGTTTAGGCGCCACTCGACATACGATTACAGTATATATATATTCACATGTTGCAACTATTAACAATTCAATGCATAATAATAAATTTAGCGATGACTGCAATAAGTTTTGGTCCCTTGTTAAATTTACAAACGCTTAAACATATTCACGTACGTGTTAACTTACAATGTTCATCAAAAATCTTTTTCTATCTACGCACTTGGCTAAATTTCGTAAACTCCTGTCGCATTACCAAACATTATTTTCGCTATTATAGTAAACGTTAAGTTTCTTAAATGTGTTGGTTACACAACTATACGTATACATACACATGTGTAATGCCGCACAAATATTTAAATCAGTGAGATAAAAAAAGAAAGATAAATAGATAGAATTGAATTTTGTTTGAATTGTGACCTCGAGATTTAAGATTTGAAAAAGGGTGTAAAGGGAGGGAAAGAGAGAGAGAGAGAGAGAAAATCTGCTGTAGCAGGAAGAAGTGTAAGATAGAAAGAGATAGCGCTTGATATCGGTGGTGGGGAACAAAGATGGTGGCAACGGAGGAGTAATAGGGGATAAGTAGTGGGGGATCTAGGGAAAAAGAGAAACGAGCTATGCCGAGTAAAGCCGAACCGAACCGAACGAAGCGTCGAGCAAGCTCGACCTAACTTTAACTATTTCCAACACGAATATACGTATACGTATGTACGATGTATGTGTATGTGTGTGTGTTTGCATGTTGCTGCGTATGTGCGTCGTTCTTGCGCGTGTTGCGCATGCGCGCAACGTTTTCTTGCTGCTACTGCTACCTGTCGATTCTAACCTCAAACGTCAACGTGTGCAACGTTGATCTTTCATTTCGCGTGTTAGATTCTGAATTAAAATTTTGCAATTCGCGCGTTTTTTGTTATTGCATTTATTGCAGAACCGCGATTGGACAGGGATAAAAACATTTAAAGAATGCGGAGGGTGGGGGGGAGCGAGAGAAAAACGAGGGGGTTAATTTTTAGGTTAACCAAAAATAGAGGAAGTGCTCCCCTCTCTCTCTCTCTTTTTATTGCAAGTTGTTTTGTGATTAAGCATAAAAAAAATAATAAAAATATAAAAAAGAAAATACTGTAAAAAGTTTCTTAAAGTGAGGGAAAAAGAAGGAAGAGGAATTGGCGTAAGCTTTTTAGTGTAGAGTTGGTGGATAAAAAAACATACACATATATCCATTCTATTGGGCGATGCGCCAGGAAAGAGAAGAGAACAGTCGCGAAAAGTGGTGGAAAGGGATCTTTCAAAGAGTCGAGGTTATGACTCGACCCGATGAAGTAAGTCACACGCGGTTTATTTTCATTCTTACCGATTCCTTCGGTAAGAACATTTACATAAATTTATAGTAACTTTAGAAAAATAAATTGACGTGTTAAGAGGTCTTACCTATAAATAAAATTTAATTCCCTAGGATTATATTAAAATGCAATAACAAATATATATACGTATACGTGGTAGTTTCTTTTATATTTTGTCTTTTTATAATGGAATAAACAACAAAGATTAGAATATTCTTAATCGAGGAATCTATTACGAAAGATAAAGAAAATGGCGGGAAATTAGATTAGGAGAAACTCTTATTTAAATTTCCGTAAAGTTCTTAAAAAACCATCAAACACGAGCACGACCCGTTCTTTTTCTTTTTTAAAAAACGTGTTTCCTTGAAAACATGAGAACGTGATTTTCGAAAAAAAGAAAACAAAGAATACAATTCTAATCGTCTACCGATCAACGTAGTCATAAAATTTATATTCCGTGAGAGTTGCGCATGCGCAGAACTAGTGAAACTCGGAGACGCGGGAAAAAGATTCAGATATTGAAAGAGAAATAGAAAAAGAAAGAGAGATAAATAGATAAATAGAATAAATAAAAGAAACAGGATGTTTTTCTTTCTCTTTATAGAAAGACAGAAAGAAGAAGAAGAAAAAAACTAAAAAGATAGAAACAGAGAGAGAAGAAAGAAAGAAAGAAAGAAAGAGTAACGAACGATTCTTTATCTCTTTTATGACGCGCATCTTTCACTATCATGTGTATTTAATATACGTATATATATGCATATTTGGTGAGACTGTCAGTGAGTGTGTGTGTGTATGTTCTGTTCAAGAATGTATGTATGAGGGGGTATATAGGAGTATGCGTGCATGAATATTGTGGAGGAAAGCAGACCGTCTGGCTGGCTTGCGTGGGAAAAGCATGAGGAAGGAGTGGGAGGAGTGAGGAGGGGCCCTGACGATAGAATGAAGGGGGTGGGATGGGGAAAGGGATAGAAAGGTAGTTGGGTGGGGGTAGAAGCGTGACGAAGACGAGGATGAGACATGATAACGGTTCGATTCGATCGTTCCTCTTTCTCTTCTCCTGTCCGTTACTATCTTCGTTCCTCAATATACATATTTACAATATATGTTATATACATATCAAATTTATACATATCAAATTTATTTAAAGAAAAAGAGATAAAATGAAAAATCAATTTCAATTGAAAATAGAATGAATGCATATGTGTTGTATGCTTCTTCTTATCAATAATTTAAAATACCTTTTCTGTGTGTGTGTGTGTGTGTCTGTGACTGATAATGGAAGATTTTCAAATATGAATGAGAGAACATTTTAACATACAATTTTGAGTTTGTTTCTTTTTTATAAACGTAGTATTGTTATTATAACGAATAAATTAGAATTATGTAAGGGGTGAGATTTGTTAATAAATTTTCTCACGATTATTAATTATTTATACTTTTTTTCGGATTGGTATATAATAAATGTATAGAAGAATCTTTTTTAGATTCGCAATTAGATTTATTTTGTTCTATTTTTAACAAGGTCTGTTGTTGATGTATAGGTCATGTTATGGGTTAGTAGTATGGTAATATAATTAGAAATTGTAATTAATTAAAACGAGTTCCGTGAATATTTCCGCCGCAACCAACCATTGGTGCCATTATTTAAAAACGATGCAACAATAATACAAATACACAAGCGCGCGTGTAAAAAAAATGTATATTAACGAGGCACTTCTCGGTAGGGTTATAAATACGGGCGTTGATCCGTCGAACAGAACGGGCATATATTTTTAAAATATCTCTATCTCTTTTTTCTTTTCTTTCTTTCTTTCAATTTATAGTAGTAGGCCTGTTGGTTTGTTGGAATCTGCAAAGATGTTATTCTATATATATATATATATATACATATTATTTATATCGGCAATTTCATTTATAATTCGACGTAATTTTTAATTGAATTTGATCAACAAAATTGATCACAATAAAATCTTTGTTTATATATTACTTAATAAAAATAAAAATGAAAAATTGTATTTTTCAATTTGAAATCGTAAAGTTTGATATAAATATTGAAATTGAATCTAATTGAATTGAATTGAAATGTATCCAAGTTTAATGAAACATACTGTATTATACGTGTTCTTCTTCTTCTGCTCTGATAATCTAGACAAGAAAAGAAAATATAAAAAGGTAGATAAAAAGAAAGATAGAAAGTCTCTATACGAGTTATCATCGTGTATGTAAGAGTTAGAGAAAGAGAGAAAGAAAATATCCAGTCAGTGATAGTTTAAAAGAAAGATGGCGGTAATCGAGAAAACGTCGGCCATTCTGACCGTAACAAGACAGGAGGTTAATGGTGCGATTCTTATTGAAAGCCATTTCAACGAAGATTCTAAAGAAAATCATTTTCATGAATATATATTTAAATAGATTTTCATTACTTCCCTTCATTTCTTGTTTCTTATAATTTATTGTTATTCCTTGCTTTGTTTTGTGCTTTTCCTTGCTTTGTTTTGTGCTTTTCCTTGCTTCTCTTTTTATTTTGTATTCGTAATGCACGCAAAAATGGCGGACAAAAATAGTAATGGCGGAAGAGTTGAAAAATTAAAAAAAAAGGAAAATAAAAAGAAGACATGATAATTGAAAAAAATGATCATACACAGTTTGTGATATTTCTTTACTTATCGACTTGACTATAACCATGTACGTGGTTGTTTAAAAGTAGGCGAGTAAACATGCTAGTGGGAAGAGAATAGGAGGAGGAATAGGAAGAAGAGTGAGAAGAGAGAAGGGGGGAAGGTATAATTGGTCACATGCAAGGAGGAGTAGTTTGATAGAGATTACTTCATCTTCCACTTTTGTTCTTTTCCTGGTAAATGCATTCCAATGTTAAGTATCTTAGAAGTAATATAATATAATCTTAAAAGTTACTAGACGATATAATAAAAATTAGCCAATTAGCTTTCGTTTTTTTTTAAGTCCTTAGGTTAATTTGAAATCAATATTCTTTCCGATTGGTTAAATCCAGCAACAATTATTTGTTGA